TCTCTTGGCCCTCCATGCTGTTCGCCATCCTGGCATATGGCAGCCGCCCGTGGCTGGGGCGAAGGCCATATAGGAAGTTGAAGGCCGCTGGAGTCCTGATGGAACCTCCTAATACCGAGTCAGAGAGTTTTGGGGGTAAATAATCACAAGTCAAGCTTACCAATGTCGGTGCCAACACCGATGACGCTGCCGCGGAAACCAATGATGGCGCCCTCGCCACCGGAGCTTCCTCCAGACGACCAGTTCTTATTCCTTGGATTCAGAGTGCGGCCAAAGACGTTGTTTATTGTTTCACAGACCATCAAGCTCTGTGGCACACTCGTCTTGACATAGAAGACGGCTCCAGCCTTGTCGAGTAGGTCTACGAGAACAGAGTTGTGTTGGTCGATTTTGCCGATCCATCCGGCATATCCCATGGTTGTTTCAAATCCCTAGCATTTTTTGTAAGTTAACCCCGGCTCAAGGGCAGACTTCGAAGCTACCTACTTTGATCCGGGCCTGGTCTTTCAAAGAGATGGGCAGCCCGTGCAGTGGACCTATGGGTTTCTTGTGTTTGTCGAGGTATTCATCACAGTACCTCGCTCTGGCCAGCGCGAATGCAGGGAGGAAGTCGTGCAGACAGTTGACCTAACAATGGTAAGGACATTGGAACCAGTGAAGAAGGGAATGGTCACTGCAACTTTTACTCACTAGCTGATGGGCCAAGGCAGCCCGTTTGCAAAAGGCAGTTGTGACGGCCACAGAGGACAATTTCCCAGATGCCAAGTCCTTCACAAGGTCTGCAGCGGACGACTCGGTGATGGCCAGCTCTTGGTCAGTGAGGATGCCGCTTTCTTTGGGGACAGACATGACCGAGTCGGTCGAGGGGGTTGTCTTCAGCCGCCATTCCGGGGGAATAGCATCCGATACATGGGCCTTTTTGTTGGCGGCGAGGTCTTGCCAGGTCATGTTGGCTTTAGTCTACAAGTTGATTGCGGAGAGATGGTGGTGTGAAAGTGATGATGTTGTACACGATCAAGCCAAGCGCGAGAGTAGGGGAAGGGGCGCTTCTTGTAGTGCTGGTGATTTTCATTCTTTGCGCTAATGAATCCGTAACATTAGTCTGGTAACTATCGTAACTCATCGAATCCATCATCATCGACATGGTCTGCCCATCCGCCTGTCCGAGACGCTGCGATGGCGCTGATTTCATTGGCGGCGATATGCTGCTTGTAAAGGGGCTAGTTCTAGCAGCTTGGCGTCCGACTTATCACAGCCCGTGAGCTTGGCTCTGCTGGGGGGTTCGAACCACAAGAGGCGCGTCTATTGGTGATGAGTTGACAACCCCGCAACATTGAGGGCGTGGAAACATGGAAGCCGGAGGGCGCTAATAAGCGTCAACGTGGAGCGTGCCATGTTGCGCTTATCAATGACCCAAATGAGAATACTGTTGCAGAGGGGCCATGGGTTTGGCGCTGATCTGTTCCTGTTTCCGTCTTGGTGCCTTTGTCTGATTGCTGGTTTGCGTATTGTTGTAAGTGGTTGCTGTATTCTTGCTCTTTTTTATTCCTTGACATGAGCATTTCACAGCTTACAGTTCAGACTCCATGGCTTTGTTTTCAATGTTGGAACATGGTCGTCTTCTTTGATCTCAGCTGAGGCAGGCTTAGAGCCGTGATCGATGCTCTCTTCGGTGAAGCCAAACCGGGCCGAGACGGGAATGCATTTGTCCGCATGGACCAGTATTCATAACATTCTAACTGGAGGCCAAAAGGTCTCCCGGGTAGTGACTATGCAAGACTGCTCAGAACTTCACAAGAGGGACAAGGCAAGAACAGAGTCTGGTTGCGGGTTGAGAACACACAAAGAGCTGGGGATATGGCTCGCCCTCCTCCCCCGTACACAAAGACGGCTTTGAGATTCGGCACAACCCAAGGGCACAAACGGTTTGATCTCTACCTGTGAGTGTTGAGTCTAGTTGCGCGTGTTCAATGCAATCGTAGCTCAACCAAGATTCAAGGCTGCTTCAATGTCCCGGCGTCGAGTGCCCAACGTCGAACTGGTTCATGCCTTGACAGCTTCCAGATATTCCATATCGGATTCCTGTTCCCGTGACTCCAAATTCGAGTAAGTAAGGGTGCTCTGTGTCAGTGCATACTGCACAGGGCCAGTCCGTCATGTGCTTTGGATATGTATTTGCGCCAGATCCTCTTGTTCACCTTCTGTGTATTAGAAGTACTGGGTATTTTGTTCATATCAAGTGAGGATCAATAGAGTATATATAGCGTCTCTCATCCCCAGCTTGTAGATGAGAAAGACAGAGCTTCATCTCATCGAAAGTCAGAGACTGTACCGTTTCGCCCCTTTCAAAAGCCCGCCCAAAGTCCTATTGCCGCCAGACTTGTGTACAAAGTCAACATCAGACGACAAACCAAACCCCTATCTCAGAATCCCTAGTTTGTTGTCGGTCCAAATCTCACGCAATGTCTCAAGAATGTAGGTGGCATATTCTTCCAATGAAAAGTTTTGTACTAACAGTCGTGCAATAGACACGTTGGCATCAAAGTCTGCCATGCAGGACAAACTCAGGGGTTTGCACGACAGCATGTACTTCTACGACTGCATTGGCACATATGTCAAACTTGCCGGCACAAAAGCCACTCCCGAGGACGTTGTGAACCACATCCAGATCACAGCTTTTCGCCATTTGTTCATGCAATCAGAGGCAGATCAATGGCTACAAGTGATTTACCTGATTCCCAGCCGGGAGCTTGTCTCTGCCTTCTTCGCAAACGAACAAGATGCGCAGAAGGCCTGGAAGGAGCTATACGAGGCTCAAGTCATTGACGAGAAAACCTTCCAGGGAGAGAACTATCACATGGAAAGTACCCAGGGCGAGAGGTTACGCGTCAGTCTAGTCAAGGCCCAGCAGGTTGAGCGGTACACTCCCCCTGAGCCGACAAAGGGAATGACACTGGACGAATACGTCGACGGGTTTATCCGAGAATGCAGAGAGAAGACGGTGCCCCCGCCCATTCTCCAAGCAAGAGACCCATCTCGAATCGAATTCGAAGCGAATCCCAACATCGCCTGGGGCAATACCAGGAGAGGAAGAGACTTTAGGCGCTGACTCTAGCGGTTGCGCATTTCGGATGGACAGGAAATTTGCTGGCAGGCATACGAAAAGAATCGGGATGCCGATTTAATTGCTGCTCTTCGGAAGAAAAGGATGATTATTATCACGGCACCTGAGTGAGTGAGTTATGGGAAGCCGAACAGGCACCTGCTCCCAGATGCGCGGAATGGCTTAACCAACTACCACGCGGGATGGGCCGAAGACGGATCTTTATGGAATCTGGTTATTGTTTGTTTTGCCCCGTCTGTCTTTTTTTTTTTTTTTTGTTTTTTCTATCGAGCCTGTTCCTCTCCGAACTGGCTGCCCCTAGGACCAAAAAAAGTCAGTTTGTCGTGATTTAAATTAATTAGATAGTAACATGTTTGTTTGCTCTTATCAAGCCCATTCCATCGAGACAACTTGTACTGATTCATGCTCGCTTCGTTATTGCTGGAGAGTTAAGGAGACGCCGGTCCCGTCTTGCCCGCCTACCATCTCGTGCCGTCTCGGGTGTCTACCAAGCGTAGTTGACGCACGCTTGCCAACCCCTTCAATGCTCAGATTGAGGACATTTTATACGTCTAGGGAAGATGTCTGTTACGTAGATTGCGATGCTCTGGCGGGTGTTCAAGAATAGTGTGCTGAGGCGGCGTGTTGGACTGGCTCGACAGTGTCGAGACTCGAGAGATGAATAGGTACATGTACCCATTTTGATCTTGCTGCTGGTTACAACTTACCTCTCAAGTCGAGAGAGCCATGCCACGCGTGCCATTTCAACATGTTATTGAGCGGCAAGCTATTGATGAGACGAGGCGGTACTCCGTAGATCGAGGCTACTGGCTGAAACTCGGATCAGGCCGTAGAGACTTTGTAGATTTGTGTGAAAATTGTGCGCAATTGAGGCCGCAAACCTCGTATTTTATCCGTCGGCATTGACCCCAGTTCATGCACACCACATGTGCAGCCAACCTTGAGCTCGGTATGGACAAGGCCATGGTCACTAGTTGAGTTGGCCTTTGCATGCAGAGAGCGCTGCACGCGACCCTGGCTTAAGAATATTCGCCATCTTGCAAAAGGTAATAAATAGTACTAGCGTACGTTGTAGGTATTATTGACAGCATCAAAAAGGCAAAAAATTTATGTGATAAAAAACATACAACACTGGGTATTCGCTGGTCGTCACCGACCCAACTACTAATCCAGCGCTCGCCAGGTTATCGTACGAGATCGGACGGGATCGTGAGTATTACTGGCGGCTGTGGTCGTATGTGACAGGTTAGGTGTTAGATTGGTATATAACCACTCAAGGGTACAATATTGCTCCGTGCCATCTTCAAAGCCATCAGCGTCATCAGTACGTTTAACGCCTCGGTGAGATGTGGCCTGCATCACCGTTGGCAAAAAAGGACAACAAGGACTAGTACTATCCACCACCTGCTCCAAACACAAGCATGTACTTTGTCCAGTTGGTCTCATAATCAACAGCCAAGACTAGACATGGACAGTGCGATGCCGAGTAATAGTGGTTTATACGCCAAAGTAGTTTCTCTGCCTCGGTGGGAAACTTGAAATCCCAGGCAATAGCATGGACAGGTCACGCCCATGGCACGTCTAAGTAAAGTCGAAGCTCCAAAACACCCGTACATACTAAAAAGGCTCGTGAGTTCGTTTCATAAAGGCCCGTGATACGAGGGTTTAGAGGCAAAGGCTTCAATCTAGGAATAATCTCAAGCAGTGTCAAAGGTTCTTGGTTTCCTCAAGCCTCAAGGGCGAGGGGAGCCCATTTTATATCATATACATGAAAGAAACAGCCCGTGCCCAAGGTCTCTGTAGTTCCAGTGATGCCGTTGTGTAACCATCGTGGCCCAACGTGTGACAATTCGTCCTTTCTCGTGACTTCGCATCGTTACGCAGGCATAGGCCCCGGTAGTTCCCGAAAGACATTTGTAGCACAATGAATGTCTCCCATTCTCATGTGAAGTTCCCAGTCGTCTACAAAGTCGACCTTGTAGCCAGCCTTTCCATACGCCATTTCCACGGCATACTGCATAACGTCTGTACCCGTGGCGTTAACCACGGCCCATTGCTTCGGTGCCACGTAGAGCCAGTCATTCAGGACGAGGCCATTGATGGCGTTGGGGTATACGGCGCGAACCTGGAAGTCTCCGTTGGATGGAAATTTCAACTTCGGTCTGTCGTATAGCACCGGAACGCGAAAGATGTCGTCTTCCGTGATGCCAGTTTCGGCCTTGAGCACGTCAAGGACCCCTTGAATGCGCCGCGCGCACTCTTCGTTTGTCTTTGCAAATGAGCCGTCGCCCAAGATATTGTCCACCGTATTAAAGGTGTACTTGTTTCCAGCCGGCCGAGTTATATACGTGTCATTGCCGTGGCCCTCGGCCTGGGCTCCTCGCAAGATCTCGAGTGTCGCCAGCGGATCACTAACCATGACGCACCATTTGCGAGACGTCTGGGATGTCTTGGCCGGCAGGAACTGGAGAAACTCGTCCACATGCTGGACCTCGAGCCACGTCGTGTCTATAAGCAGCGGATCCTGCATCTCCTGGGCCTGAAGAAAGGGCAATGATAACGGCACCCTCCCCGCCGTCTGATTGGCACCCATGACTATTCTTCCCGCCGAGAAGTTCTTGCCATTGAACTCGTAGGGCGGGATCGTTTCCAAGTTTCCCATGGCATCAAGCGTCTCTTCGTTTGACCCTTGGGGCTGTACGTCTGTAACCATACCAACTCCAGTAGAACGAATCTGGCGGGCCACAGCCTGCGGTACGTGATATAAGCCATGTGCCATCGGTGCTGGCAGAATAATAGGCAAGCTAATAACTGTGCCCTCTGGTCCGGGAATGCTAGCTTGCATTGTTTCGAAGAGGTCTTGGATGAAGCCGTTAGGTGCAGACGTTTGTTGGACTGGTTCCTCAATCCCGGCCTTCTTCGCGCTGGCTTCGATACCAGCAAAATGTGTCTTTGTCTTCTGTTGCATCCGATAGATCATAGAAAATCTTTGTAACGCGTTGCAAGGTAGTCTGCGTAACCAACGGAGCGACCCGTAACATGACCGAGTCGGTAGAATTCGTCTCCCCGTCAGTCACGATAAACTGAACAGTTACTCGTCCGTCCCATGGGCGAACCTTGTCGGTTTTAGAATTGCCATCATCATCAATCTCGGCCACCAGGTGACCTCGAGGACCGCGGGCGTCGATTCCAAGCTGCAGCCCCTGGGCAAGCTCTGTGGCAGAAAAGGTTGTCTTCTCGTCAACAATTGTCCATTCATTGTCTGGCTCCTCTTCAGAAAAAATTGCGAAGACATCCTTTTGCTCCTGAGAAAACTCCGGTGCAGCGCTCCGATGAAAGATGCGGACACACTTGCGGGCTAATGGATCCGAAACTGAGATCCGGCCGACTGCTGATGAGCCGAGAGACGAAATAGGGACTGTCCGTAGAGGAGCCAGGTATTTAGATGCCCGCTGGATGTCATCAGAAGCGTCATTGCATTTCACCAGGGCAGCAGGCTGAGCCTCATGTAGCTCGCGGCACCTGTCGGAAGTATCGCCAATATTGGGAAGGAAAAGAGCACCGACTTCTTCACTCCCGGTTTCTTTCCCTTTTCCCAAGTCTGATAAGCCCTCGGTATCAACCTTGCCGTCGCGGTTGCTATCAGCTCTAATATCAGCCTTGAACGTGGCTGCCTGGGCAAGGGCTAAAGAGCATCAGAATTAGTTCCAAGTGCAATAACAGTAATAGTAGACCTCCCATTAATGTCGACAAGTTATATAGTCGATAGGGTTATCAAATTGAGGGTTGACTTCCATCGTATGCATATCCTGCATCTCGTGGTGCTTGTTCCCTGTAAGGGAACGGCCCCACTT